TGTTGTAACCAGACCCGGGGCCCAGCCACGTCCTGGGGGAGCAGCAGGGCACAGAGCTCCCAAAAACCCCGAGCATCAAGAGGGAGGGAGAGAGGGAGGGAGAGAGGGAGGCAGCCTGGCTTCAATGAGCTCAGATCCTCCTCCCCAACTGCGCCCACCCTCAGCACGGCTCCTGTGCCCAGTCTGGGAGCTCCTTCCCCTGGTGTGAAGCACCCATTGTCTGCTCAGAGCAGCTCAGCCAGCACCCAACAGAGACATTATCCTCACCAGGACAGAGGTGTCCCCAGCCTAGAGAGCCCCAATCCCTCTGGGTGACAGCGTCCTGCTCAGGTGCCACTGCTGAGTGAGGCCTGCTTGGGAGGGGACAGAGCCCGGCGCCAGAATGAGGGGAGAGGGCACTGCCAGGACCCTGACACACACAGCACAGTGAAATCCCAACGCCAGGCACTGTCACTGTACAAGTGCAGGTGAGTGACTGTTTATTGGCCAGGGACAGCTCATCCTGTGCCACTGTGGGCACCCTTTGGGCACAGACCCGAAATGTTCCAGGGGCTGAGTAACCACTGCTCACCTCACTCCACAGAGGGGCAAACAGAGGCCTGGAAAGACAGAGAGATGCTACTGCCATTGCAGAGCCAAGGGTGGCTCCTGGCACTCCTGATGTCCCATTTAACCCAGGTGACAATGCCATGGCAGCCCAGTGGGACTGTCCAGTATTGAGCAATTGTCTCTGTGTGAGGCCATGCCAGTTCCTGCCCCACCATCACCAAGATGCAGTGATGCCACCCAGAGCTGGGACCACTCTGCACGTCCTCAGAGCCAGCCAAGACCCAGCACAAGCCCGCTGTGCCCCTCCTGGCCAGCCCCCCAGGCCAGGGGGCAGGAAGGGGACGCTGTCAGAGCTGGCTCTCCTCCCCTGGAGCCCCGGGCACGCCGTCACCGCCGCCTCTGTCCCGGATGTCGCTGGCACCCGGCGCTGCTCAGCACGGTAATTACTCGCTGCCTCGCCCGGTGCCCGGCCGGGATGGATGTTTTCCTCATGACAGGATGCTCAGCAAAGCCCCACATCCAGGGCTGAGCAGGTCCCAGCCAGCCCAGCCCAAAAGGGCGCAGGGAAAACTGCCTGGAGAGCAGGCGAGGGGAGCAGCGGGGCTGTGCCCACCAGTGCGGCGCTGCTGGACACTGAGCCAGAGGGCTCAGGAACGTGCCAGGCGGCACCAGATCCCTGTGGCAGCACCAATGGTCCCCTCAGCTCGCAGCTCCAGTGTGGCAAAGCACCCGAGAGCAGCCTCGACAGCTCTGCCCGCCCCAGGGATGCTGCTGCCCTCCCTCCAGGTGCCAAGGGGTGCCGGAGGCTGCGGCTCCTCAGGCAGCTCCGCCGGCTTCTTCTCCCTCCGGCTGCCGTGAGGAGCACCCGGAGAGCAGGAGCGGAGCGCGGTCCCTCCCCCAGAGCCCGAGGGGTCCATGGAGCGCGGAGCTCCCGCACTTACCGGGGAGGTTTTGCCGTCCATGGGCCGGGCTCGGGGCTGGGCTGGGCTCAGAGCCGCGGCTCGGCCATGCCAGCAGCGCGGTGCCGAGCAGGGCCAGCTCGGCGGGGCCGGCCCAGGAGGCGTTTGGCGAGCGGGCTCGTACGTCAGTGCCAGCAGCGCAGCAAACCTGTCGGACCTGCCGCCCGGCCCCGGCGCCGCCGGTTTCCCAACAGCTCCAAAACACCTGCGCTCTGCCGGCCGGCCAGGGGGCCCTGCGAGCGGGGCAGAGCCGGCCCTAGCAGGGAGCTGCAGCATCCCGGGGCTCTCCTGGCTCACCCGAACCCCCGTTCTCCCCTCTGTGCCCCCCACTCACTCACTCACCCACCCGCGGCTCTCCTGCCCGGCCCAGCGCAGGGGAGGGGATGCACAGCCATGCCCAGCCAGGAGAACCCCGCTGCTGTGAGCCACAAGTCAGGAATTCCCTGTCCCAAAGGAAATGAAAGGCCGTTTCCGTCCGGTTTCTCTAGAGGATTTTTAATTCCTTTGCTGATGGAGCGATGCTTCTTCCAGGAGCCAGCACAGCCTCCTGCCTGCCCTGCAGGCACAGCCTGGGGATGCTCTGCTTAACCAAGGACTCAGGTAGGAACAGGTGAAAATTCCCAGATTAGAGGAGAAAGGCCTAGCTTCACCCTTCATCCTGTCCCTCAGTGCCACAGGTGTCTCCTGGGATCATTCTTAGTGTAAATCCCTCGTTCACCCAGCTCCCCACCCACACCTGCTTGTCAGAAGGGCAGGAGACAAGCAGGGATGTCCAGGCTTGGAGGAGCCCTGGTGCAAAGCTCCTTTGGAGGCTGGAAAGTTTGGGCTGGATCCCTCTGACCCCTCCTGCCCCCAGGATCCCAGCTCACAGAGGGTTCTGAGCCAGCCCTCACCCCACAATGCACTCCTCTGCAGTTTTCACAGCCAGGAGTGGGTTTTGGGCTTTTTTGTTTGCTTTTTGTGCCTCTGCAGGTTGTGTCTGCTGAGTGCCAAGGTGGCCAAGCACTGAGCTGCACCCCCAGGCAGCCCTGAGCCAGCTGTGCCCTCCTGAGCTGCTGTGTCCAGTGCAGAAGGGGATTCTCAGAAAACAGCTCCAGGAATCATTCATTGCCTGCTACAAAGCCACCTACAGAGAGCAAGTTCCAGAGAACAGCATGTGTGCCTTGACCTCAGCAGCCTGATGGTAAATGTCAGCATGCACACAGCTCCTGGCTGAAATCCTCACCTTTCCTGCTGCTGTGAGCCCTCCCTGCACCCTCCTGCCCTCCCAGCCATGAAAGAGGAGCTGAAACACACAGCCAGAGCCGGCTCCACCAGCCCAGGAGAGCTGCTCCAGCCTCTGGGCTCCAGGGAATTGGGCTGAGGATCCCCTGCCCTGCTCTGTCCTGCGGCAGGGCTGTGCAGAACCAGCCCTCCGGGCCCATCCCTGCCCTGCTCTGTGCAGCCTCACCTGCCTGGCCCTGCTGTCACCCTGGGGAAGCTTCCTGAGGGACAGCAGGGAGGGAAATGCACAGCCCCAGGTGCTCCTGGGCTGGGTTTCTCTGTGGAGTGTCCTCAGGGAGGCATTTCGGGGTCAGCCACATCAGCCCAGCTCTCAGTGTCCCCCAGCAGCCTCTCCTGTGGCACCTGGAGAGCTGCGCCCTCCCTGCAGAGCTCAGGCTCCAGCCCAGGCCCCCTCTGTTGCCACATTTCACAGAGAAAAGCAAGGCACAGTTCTTCCCAAGAATATTCCTGCGTTTCACATTCTCTGAACCTCAGAGAAAGAAAAAAACAATTCTTATCTCATTTGCTGTGCCTGTGTTTGTGCAAAAATAGAATGCAACATGGAGATTGTTTACCCTCAGTGATGGAGTTTTGTTTCCTTGGCCTGTCAGGGCCAGGTGTGTGTGTGTGTGTGTGTCAGGACTGTCAGGACAGTCACAAGATTCTGGGCAGATTCAGTTTAGATGTAATGTAACATAGTGTAATATAATATAATAAAGTATATATATAATATATATATAATATATATGTAATATAGTATAACATTTATACTATAAAATAATATAGTATAATAAAGCAATTAATTAACCTTCTGAGAAGATGGAGTCAGATGCATTTTCTCTCCCCACTGTTGGGAGCGAAAATATCATCTCCACCCCTGGTGTAGTATCATCCAAGCATTCTGCAGAACTCTTGTTCCTCCTCAGCCTCTTTCACTTTCCTCTAAATTGCCAACCACTTCTCCCAGTTCTCTGAACTGCCTAACCCACAGGGCCAGCCCCGCTGTGGCTTTTCCACAGAACTCCCACTTTCCTGCCTTTTGGTCCCGTTGTTTCTCATGGCCATGACTTGCACAAAGCACGGTCTGTGGCTTTGGGGGCCAGCTGCAGAGTGGCAGGACATCAGCTGGTCTGCCCTGGATGGGGATAAACCAGGGCAGGGAGGGGATCTGCTGCTGGTGCTCCTGCTGGGCTGAGAGTTTGTGGCAGCTCTTGGCCTTCACCAGGAAGGATAAGTCAGGGGAAACAGGAGAAATCTCCCACTTCAGCTTTTAAGATGGTTCTTCCAAGAGGAGCCTGCATGTCTCTGCCCACCTTGATGCTCTCTGACCCTGTCCACACCACTTTTGGTTTCTCTTGCTCTCTTTTTGTCTGTGTTCTTTCCACGAATTCCCCAGTGGGAAATTCCTCTTCTTGAGGAAAATCACTCTCCATCACATGAGGGCCCCATGAAAGCCCTCAAGCAAGCTGTGAGGCAAAGCAGAGCACTCACACTCAGGCTGCTGGCTGGTGATTCGGGTCCCAACAGGCAGGCAGGACATCCCCGTGGGGCCAGACCCCACAGCCATGGGATCACAGACGTACCTGGGGGGCTACCAGAGCCCTGGGGACAGTGGCAGCCCCTGTGTCACACGGGATTTCCAATGTCACCCCTGTGTGAGGCTGTTTGCAGGACACAGGATAGCCCAGAGGGTCTCACTCGGCCCCAGAAATGGAGAAAGGGGAATTGCAGGCTGATCCCAAAGGAAGGGAAAGCCAGAACCCCCTCCTGGGGCTGCAGGGCTGCTGGAACCTGGCTGGATTCAGCTGCTGGCAGCACAGGACATGGTGCTGTGCTCAGGAAAGCCCCTGTGCCAGGTCACCCTCGGTGCTGCCTCTCACCTGTGCCGTGCTTTGAACATCTCATTTCACAACAAAGCAGCAAGGGCAGAGACATCCCTTACTCGTACTCTCCTTTTACTCTCCTTTCTCAGCACAGCCCAGCTTTGCTCAGAAAAGCCCCAGAACTGTTCCTCTGCAGCTCTGTCGGAAAGCCCAGCCCAGGCTGAGGCTTCGGCTGGGGGTGAGTGGGTGGACAGCAAAGAGAAGTGGAAGTGACTGCTCGGTGACTTTCCTGACGCCTCGGAGACGTCACTGAGCCAGCCCCTGGGGGAAAAACGAGCGCTCGGCTCCCGCCGGGGCACAGCCCGGTCCCGCTCTGCCCTGCTGCCACGGAGGATGCTGAGCGGCCATGGGCCCCTCTGCCACCGCCCTGGCGCTCAGCCTGGCGCTGCTCCTCGCCTGCCCTACCCACGGTGAGTCCCTCCTGCCGGTTTGCATCGCCCTGCTGGCCGGGGCTGAGCCTCGCAGCTCCGGGTGGGATCCTTGGCATGGGGGATAGGATGGAGGCACAGCCCGGACGCCTTTGCTGGGTGCTCAGCCCTCAGATCAGTGCTTGGGAGCAGGGCATGGCCAGGGCTCCCTGCTCACTGCTTGCCTTTCACTGCTGGTTGGGAGCCCCAGGGCTCAGCGAGGGGCACCAGCCTGGCTTGCCCCCACTGGTCCCCATGTCCCCATTGTCCCCATGATGAGCCACAGGCACTGGGGACACGGCACTGGGCTGGAGGTTTGCCAGCAGGCAGCAGCTGCCAGGGACACCTGCAAGGGAAAAGTGTCAGAAGTCATCAGCGGGGCTTTTCTGCCAGGTGTCAACACAGAGATCAGGCAGGAGGTGTGAAAAAGTCTGGTTTCACCCAGGCAGCAGATGAGCAAAACAGGAAAGCCGAGTCCAAACAGAGCTGGTGGCGAACGGCAGGGGATGGGGGATGCAAATACAGCTCCTTTCCTGGGGCTGAGAAGCACCAAGAAACCCCAGCTGGGCTATCCCAAAAAAGAAAGAGGAAGGAGAAGAGGGGGCTGAGCAAATCCTGGAAGCCAGCAAGAGAAATCTGAGCAAAGGCTCGCACATTTCGGGTGGTCAGCACTGCCACGTCACCCATCACCCATCAGGGGGATGCTGCACGAGGCCGTCCCAAGGCTCGTGGGGGCTGAGGTGGGGCAGGGCTGTGCAGCCCCACCTGAGCCCAGGTGTGCCCCACAGGTGAGGAGCTGGCCGAGCCCCGTTCCGTGCGCATCACCACGGAGATGGGCTGGCCCCTGCTGCGCTGGAAGCCGGGGCGCGGCTGCCCCAGTGACGCCCGCTACAACGTGGAGTACGTCGTGTGAGTAACAGCGAGGGGGAGTAACAACAACGGGGCCCTGCCCTGCCCAGCGCCTGCCCCAGCTCTCTGCTCACCCCTGGTGCTTCTCCCTACAGCTATGGCATAGGCATGAACTGGACAGCCATCCCGGAGTGCTGGAACACCACGGAGCACTCCTGCAACCTCACCCACTACACCCTGCACCCGGGGCAGCGCCACCATGCTCGGGTCAGGGCCGTGGCCGGGAACCTCACGTCCTCCTGGAAAAAGACTGGAGGCTTCTACCCAGAGCAAGGTGCCTTGGGCTCTGTCTCCAGCCTGTGCTGGAGCTGGGGGGGTCAGGGTATCAAGGGATGAACGGGAGCTGGGATATTTCCCTCCACACCTTCCTGGAGGGCCGGCGGGCTGCGCAGGGGGATGGGGCAGCCCGAGGGAGGGTGGGACGGTCCCGGCTCAGTGTGGTGCTGCAGGGGCTGAGCTGTGAACAGGAAACAGCCCTGACCTGCCCTTGTGACTGCTCTGCTTCCAGCTGGCCTGCGCCTGGCGGGGCAGAGCCTCTCCGTGATGGGCAACTCCATCCAGGTGCAGCTGCGGCTGCTGCTCCGCCCCGGGACCAGCCCCGAGTACAGCGACTTGCAGAGGGAAATGAGCCGCTACCACGTGCACCTCCGGAGGACACGGGACAACCACACGGTGAGAGGAGTGGCTGATCCCCTGCTGTCCCCATCTGTCCCACAGGGTGCTGCTTAAGTGGAAAAACAGACTGTTAAAGCAGGGTTGTCCGCAGGAGTAAGTGCTGAGCTTTCTCACAGCCACAGCAGGGCAGAGAGGCTTCTCTGCATGTTTTGTGGGAGAGTTTTCCAGCTCTCAGGGGAATTTTGGATCTAGCTGCTGTCATCATTATCACAACGCACCCTGGGGATTTTCCCCTGCAGAGGAGGAGGAGGGAGGGGAGCAGGAGCTGGGGGCTCCCAGGTTCCAGCCCGTGCTGTTTGTTGCAGATCACGGTGGTGAAGAACAGCACGGAGTTCACCATCAGGGAGCTGTTCTGGCTCACAGAGTACTGCCTGAGCGTGGAGCCCAGCCTGGCCAACATGCCCATCCCCAGCAGGCGCTCTGCTGAGCAGTGTGTCACCACCGGCCCCAGGGACAGTAAGTGACACCCAGGAGGGGGGAACCACGGGGTGCTGACCCCCCCCACCCCAGCCTCCTGGCCCTGGGAGTGTGGGGATCCACACCAGGGCAGCCTCTGGGTACTGTGTGCACTGAGGAATCCCCTCTGCCCCCTCACCTGGTCATGTCCTCTCTTGCAGGGAGTGCAGAGCTCCTCCCGACCATCCTCAGCTCCTTCTTCATCACCCTGTCCTTGCTGGGGCTCCTGGGGGCTCTGCTGGCATGTACCTACATCAGGAGACCTGTGAGGACACCGTCTGCCCTGGTAAGGCAGGGACAGTGCCTTTGGGGCCAGAGCAGGGATGCAGGCTCGGGGAGGGCTGGGAGAGGCAGGCACCAACCAGGGATGAAGCACAGCTCACTCCCCTCTTCCTCTCCCTCCCCAGAAGTCCTTCATGAAGCAGAGCTCGCTCTGGGTGGAGCACGAGCCCCCATCCTCGGGCAGCCTGGATGCAGACCCCATCCAGCAGCTCTTCCTGTGCCAGAAGGAGCCCCAGCTGGGCAGCAGCCCTGGCAGCAGCACCAGCGCAGCCCAGCAGCCCCTGGAGCAGGGCTGGAAGCTCCCAGCATGGCCCAAGGACCAGCTGGGACCCACGGGGAGCAGAGACAGCAGCGGCACCAGCATCGACAGCGGCATCTGCCTGCGCATCCCCTCCTCCTCCTCTTCTTCCTCCTCCTCCTCCCTGAGCTGCTCCGTGGGCCCCAAGCCCCAGGGCTACAGGCAGCAGCTGCCCAGGGCTGAGGACAGTGGGGTGGGCTTGGAGAGCCCCTGCCCTGCTGCTGGCTGCTCCTCTGGCAGTGCAAACACCAGCCCAGGGCTGTCCCCTGCCACCAGCCAGGCTGGAGTGGAGTTCCGGGGGTACCTGCAGCAGTCCAAGGGCACCGTGGAGCCAGAGAGGAGCCCGGGGCAGGGAGAGCCCGTCCTGGGCTGTGCAGGGTCCCTGCAGAGCCTGGGCAGCACCGACATCATGCTGGACATGGAGTGCTCCGAGCTGGCTGTGGCCAAGGGGTATTTGAAGCAGTCCAACCCCGAGCATCCCCTCACACAGCACCTCTCTCCCCGGGGAGCTCCTGCCTGCAGCTTCTCCAGCCAGGTGGGACCCCAAGTGCCCACCCTGCTGAGCTGGGCAGCCCCAGGTGCTCCACTGACCTCCAAAGCCAGCCCTGATCCGAAAACTCCCTTCGACCTGCACATCTTCAACAACACTGCCTTCCCTGGGGTGCTGCCACTGATCCCCAGCCTCAGCTCCAGCTGGATCCCACTGCCCACCCAGCCCCTGGGCCAGCTCAGGGGGGACAGCAAGGACAGCCGCCTGTGACCCGTGCCCTGGGGCCACCAGCCTGTGCTCCGACCCAACTACCTCGTCTGCCTCTGGATAAGCTACTCCTGACCCTGGATGTCCACGGTGCCAGCCCAGCCGTGGGCCAGCAGCACCAGCTCAGCCCCTGGTGGGGCTGCTTTGCCCCAGCCCTGCTGTGGGCAGCCCCCAGGGCACCCCTGCAGCCACCCCAGCTAAGGGGACACAGGGATGGGCTGTGCTGGGGGGGGCTCATCCTCATCTCTGCCTTGCCCAGCACGAGCTGCAGGGCCACCCTGGGGGCCTGGGCCAGTCCCGTGCTTCCACTTCCCCCTCTCCTGGGCCAGCTGGGCTGACGTCCCCACTCCTGGTGCCATCCCAGCCTTTCACAACACAGAGACTGAGGCCACAGTCAGGCTGACATCAGCACCCTGCTGCTGGCAGCACGGGACTCCCGCCCTGCCTGACCCCACATGGGTGGACCCAGAGCCTTTCCTGACCCTGCAGAGACCCTTGGGGGAGCCCAGGGCGGGATCTGGGATGCACCTACAGGCCCAGCATGAGCCAGGGCAGTCCTACCCACACTATGGTCTGTGTTCTGCCACTCTCAGATACAGACATTATTTATTGGATTTCATTTGTAAATACAGAAAGGATGTGTTATTTATTTGGTCCATTTGCCTGTTTATCCTCTCCTAAGGCCAAGCTGAGCTGTCTGTTTCCAGATTTGGACGTTCCCCATCAGCAAGAGGCAATGTGCCTTTGCCTCATGTGGGGAGGAGCATTTCTACATCACAACTGGGAAAAAGGAGAACCAAGCCAGCTCTCCAGGAGCCCCTCACATGCCTGAGCTTCTGGGGAATTTGTGGGGGCAATCAGCAGAGGAGCAGTAGGGAAAAGAGGCTGGGCTGCTCAGAGTGATCCCACAGGGATGGAAAAGGAGCTGGGCTGCTCAGAGTGATCCCACAGGGATGGACACCCCATGGGACATCACCAGGGAAGGACAGGAGGACAAGTCAAACCCAGGGGTGGAGGAAAGACAAGAGTCAGGGCTCTGCTAAGCAACGTGGTGCTCGGTCATAGGTTGGGCTCCATGATCTCAGAGGTCTTTTCCAAACAAATCGATTCTGTGAACAGCTGTCATCAGAGTGGAAACAGGGTGAGCTCACCAGCAGCTCCCCCTGGGTCGCCCTCCAGGTCTCAGGGAAGTTTTTCCAAGAGTCATTTCCAGGAACCTTCAGTGTGGGAAGTAAAACTGCTGCTGGAAACCCTCCTCGGGGAATGTGGTTTTCAGGTGAAGGGTTTTTGGGTTTCTTTTCAGCTTTTCCAGTGCAGGCAGGAGGAGGGGGCTGATCCTTGCTGTTTCCTTCTCTTAAACCTCACATGGCACTGCTCACACATGAGTTCCATCCCTGCATCCCACAGGGATGTGGAGGGCACTGGGAGCCTCCTCCTGCCCCTCCACTGGCCCCATCTCTTCTGCCTCTGTGTATTTTGGGGGTTGGAGCTTTTTGCTTTTTTTTATTTTTTTCAACTTCCTCTGGAAAGTGCAGTCATCAAAACCGTGGCTGTTTTTTGTTTTTCTTTTAAACACCGCTGACGTCGGGCCCCACGGACGGATCCTGCGTCATGCAGGGCTCTGCTGGGTCCTGCTCACATGGAGGGCTCCCAGCCCCCAGGAGCTGGCATTTCCCCTTCCTCTGAGCAGTCAGAGGTCTCTTTTCAGCCAGGACAAAGCCACAGAGCACATGGTTTAGTTTCGATGGCCGAGAGCACAGCCAGTCCCTCTGACTCCCTGGAAATCCCACTCTGTCCTCACTGGTGTCCCTACACACAACCACATGGCTCTCATGAGTTTTTCTTTGTTCTTCTTCTGAGAGAAATTCTGAGAGAATTCCTTTCTTGCAAAGAAATGGTCCCAAGGCCCCCCATGCCTCAGCAGCCCCCCTGGCCAAGCAGGGCCCCTCTCTGTGGCCACCGAATCTCCCCGGGGCTGTTCCTGTGCTCCAGGCACTTCCAGCCCCTTGTTCTGCTGAGGCCAAAGGCAATTGGCACCAAAAATCCACAAGGAACTTCCACAGGGCCTTGCTGAGGCGTTTCCTTGCACTGGGAATGTGGAGAACCAACTTCCATGTGGGTGCAGGAACTGGATGGAGGAGGAGGAGGAGGGGGTCTGAGACAGATTTCCCATTTCCTCATGGTGTTTTCTGCAGTTGCACCAATGCAGTCACCCAGTTCTGGGGCTCCTCCTCAGCTGGTTCCATAAGGAACAGCCTGGTGCCAGGTCCCTGGGTGTGCAGGAGGCTGGCAGGTCTCTGAGCCATGGGCAATGTGCTGTTTTCTCCAGGATGTTGAGGAATCCTGGATAAAGCTGCATCCTCTTCCTCCATCCCAAGCACCAGCGCTGGCCCAGGCATGTCCTGTGCACCCGTGGCTGCAGAGGCCCAGTGAAAGAGAGACAGGTGGAGGAGATGCCCAGGAAATTTGTGGAGTTTCCCTCTCTGGAGATGTTCCACACCCACCTGGGTGTGTTCCTGTGTCACCTGCTCCAGGTGACCTTGGGCACAAGGGGGTTTGGACCAGATGGTCTCCAGAGGTCCCTTCCAGCCCCAAGGATTCTGTGACCCTGGGAAGATTTTTAGCAACAGAAACTGCACCATGGCCATTTCAGTTGAAATCCAACAAAGTCAGGGGCTGTTTCTTACAGAAGTGAAAATGGAGGAATTTTCCCCAGGCAGTTTTTGTTGCTTTTTCTGTTGGTGCTGGGCTGTGAGTAAGAGGCAGAGAGGGGAAGCTCTGCAGGAGCACCCGGGCTTCGGCCCCATCCTCTGTGCCTGGGACAGCGGGAAAGGAAACACAAACCAAAGCCTGTGTGGGGAGAAACCAAACGCAGAGCTCAGGGAAAGCCTCTGAAGCCCAGAGCCACAGGCAGGACTTGAGCTGGAAAAACCTTGGACTGTGCTGAGGAAAGCTGTGATGCCCAGGGGCTGCAAGGCAGTATGGAGGCTTTGGGGCACAGCACAGGGGGCAGGGGGGGATGAGGGGATGTCCTTCCTACCTGCTCAGCAGCCCAGCTCTCCCCTCACGGCCTCTGGCTGTGGAAGGGCTCGTAGCCACTGCCCGAGGTGCCCAGCGAGCCACTGATGCTGAAGGGTGGCACCAGCTCCAGTGCCACTGAGCCCAGCCCGCTGCAGGGAGAGCAGAGGGGTCACCAAGCAGCAGACCCATCCTCCTGCTGCCCTGCCAGCAGCAGAACTGACTGGGGAGGGGCTGTGACACCCTGGCACTGCACAAGGGGAGCTGCCAGCCTGCCCTGGTGCCCCCATGGTGTCACTCACCGTGAGTGGTAGAGGCTGAAGACAAAGTCAGGCCCTGGGGAGGCAGGAGGAAGAGGAGGGAGAGGAGTCAGAGCCGTGTGCTGCTGTGAACCCACCTTTGCTTTGCTGTGAGTGGCAGGGTGGGGACAGGCAGGACAAGCACCAGGACATCGCTGTGCATCCTCCCCCTCACCTCACAGTGCCCCCAACTTGACCCTGAGCCCCCCTGCACCAGGGATTCCATTTCCCGTGTTCCCCACACCCCAGGCCCTGCAGCCCCATGCTCTGAGCCCCCCTCCCATGCCCTGTCCCCCTGCCCTGTCCCCCCCATCTCCTGCCCTGTCCCCTGCCCTGTCCCCCTGTCCCCATGTCCCCTGCCCTGTCCCCCCCATCTCCTGCCCTGTCCCCTGCCCTGTCCCCATGTCCCCTGTCCCCCTGTCCCCTGTCCCACTCACGGCGCTGGCAGTGGCCCCGCCGGGTACCAGCGGATGAAGGTGTAGCCAAAGCTGGCCTGGATCAGCAGGGCCAGCCCGATGCCCAAGACAACCCCGATCACCCTGACGGGCTCTTGTCCTGGAAAGCAGAGGGAGGGGGGGCTCTGCACACAGACCCCTGGGAGGCTGCAGGTCCCCATTGTCCCCTGCAGGGCACAGGACAGGCGGGAGCGGGGGTACAAGCCTCCAGCATGAGCTGTCCCCACGGCAGCGCTGCCAGCACCGTGGCACAGCGATTTCTGCTGTCCCCAAGGCCCCATGACGGAGACCACCACTGTCCCCAGGTGAGCTGGCAGGGGAGGTGGCCACCCTGGCCAAGCTGTATCCCCACCGCTGGCCCCGCTCGCGGGGTGCTGCTCCTTTCCTGGTGGCACCAGAGCCATTCCTGGGCTGGCAGGTCCCTCTAGAGGATGCTTCTGTCAGGACGAGCAGCGGCTGCCGCCAGCGCCAGGCGGGGACGGGACTTGGCCGGGGCTCTGCGGGAGCCGTGCGGGCTCCGCACTGCCCCATCCCTGCCCTCCAACAGCGGGATGGACAAACAGCCGCAGAGCGCCCCGGTCACAGCTCCCGGGGCTCGTGGGGAGGAGCGGGACCTACCCTGGCCTTCCTTCCCCTTCCAGCCGGCCCTCCTGGCAGGGCTCAGCATCCGTGCATGGCCAAGGCTTCTGCTGGGGCCGGGGCGAGCGGCAGCCCCGGGACCCCCGGACAGGACGAGGTCAGGGAGCCCCAGGACCCCGGACAGGGCGAGGTCAGAGTTAGGGTTAGGGTTAGCTGTAGCAGCCATGAATCATGGCCGGAGCTGCGGGGCCAGAGGAACGTGCTGCAACAGCCTCCCTGAATCAGCTGGCTGCCGAAACTGCCCCGTCCCCACGCCCACGGCCCGTGGGAGGGTGACAGCGGCGTGCCCGGGCCCTGCCCTATGCCCGGTGTGGGAGGCGTCCCTGCCCTGGCACCCTCGGCAGCAGAGGTGCCCACATCCCAGGGCATGGCTCTGAGCAGCACCCAGCAGTGAGCCCCAGCCCACAGGGAGCAGGGAGGAAGGTCAGCAAGCACTGCCCGTGCCATGAACAGCCCGGCTCTGTCCCCTGAGGGGGGCAAAGGCACCCGCTCACCTGTGCGGGGGTCCATGTGCTGCTGTGCCACAGGAGCTGCTCTCGTTATCCCGGCCTGGAGCTGCTGCTGAGCCCTGTCTGTGCTGGAGCCTGGCACGTCCTGCCTGTCCCCTGGTGACAGGGCTGCCTCCCTGCAGCGAGGCTGGGCTCCAGTCTGGCCCACTGGTCCAACTGGTTCTCAGGGAGAAAGCAGAGGAGCTGCAGCAGACACACCAAGGGCACATGGCTGTGCCCAGCCCGCCTGTGTGGGTAGCTCTGCCCTCCCACTGCTACAAGAGGCTGAACTGGGAGTACTGGGAGCCCGAGGGGCAGGGACAGCCCAGACTTTTTATTTTAAATTTAAAAAATAAAATTAATTAAAAATTAAATAAAATTAATTAAAAATTATTAATTAAAATTAAGTTAAAATATAATTAATTAAAAGAAATTAAAATTAGTAAAATTAGTTAAAATTAGTTAAAATTAGTTAAAATTAGTTAAAATTAGTTAAAATTAAGTAATTAATTAATAATAAAATTAATTACTTAATTAGAACACAGGTATGCCGAGCTGGAGCGGCAGGGACAGCCTGGACTTTTTATTTTAAATTAAAAAAAAAAAATTAAAAATTAATTAAAATTAATTTAAAATTATTAATTAAAATTAATAAAAAATATAATTAATTAAAATTAATTAAAATTAGATAAAATTAGTTAAAATTAATTAAAATTAATTAATTAATGAATAGTAAAATTAATTACTTTATTAGAACACCGGTGTGCCCAGCTGGAGGGGCAGGGACATCCCGGACTTTTTATTTTAAATTTAAAAAATAATATTAATTAAAAATTGATTAAAATTAATTTTAAAATTAATAATTAAAATTAATTTTAAAATAATTGAAATTAATTAAAATTAGTTAAAATTAATTAGAATTATTAAATTAATTAATAATAAAATTAACTACTTAATTAAAACACAGGTGTGCCCAGCTGTAGGGGCAGGGACAGCCTGGACTTTTTATTTTAAATTTAAAAAATAAAATTATTTAAAAATAAATAAAGAACAAAATTAAAACAGTAAAGTGTTGTAAAGTGCTGTAAAGTGCCGTAAAAATTCCATAAAAGGAAGTGCCGTAGAGTGCAATTGCCGTAAAGTGCCGTAAAGCGCGACTGTCGCAAAAGGTGCCGTAAAGCGCGACTGTCGCAAAAGGTGCCGTAAAGCGCGACTGTCGTAAAAGGTGCCGTAAAGCGAGACTGTCGCAAAAGGTGCCGTAAAGCGCGACTGTCGTAAAAGGTGCCGTAAAGCAGAACTGTCGTAAAAGGTGCCGTAAAGCAGAACTGTCGCAAAAGGTGCCGTAAAGCAGAACTGTCGTAAAAGGTGCCGTAAAGCAGAACTGTCGCAAAAGGTGCCGTAAAGCGCGACTGTCGCAAAAGGGTCCGTAAAGCAGAACTGTCGCAAAAGGTGCCGTAAAGCGCGACTGTCGTAAAAGGTGCCGTAAAGCAGAACTGTCGCAAAAGGTGCCGTAAAGCGAGACTGTCGCAAAAGGTGCCGTAAAGCGCGACTGTCGCAAAAGGTGCCGTAAAGCGCGACTGTCGCAAAAGGTGCCGTAAAGCAGAACTGTCGTAAAAGGTGCCGTAAAGCAGAACTGTCGTAAAAGGTGCCGTAAAGCAAAACTGTCGTAAAAGGTGCCGTAAAGCAGAACTGTCGCAAAAGGTGCCGTAAAGCGCGACTGTCGCAAAAGGTGCCGTAAAGCGAGACTGTCGTAAAAGGTGCCGTAAAGCAGAACTGTCGCAAAAGGGGCCGTAAAGCGCGACTGTCGTAAAAGGTGCCGTAAAGCAGAACTGTCGCAAAAGGTGCCATAAAGCAAAACTGTCTTGAATCGCGACTGTCGCAAAAGGTGCCGTAAAGCGCGACTGTCGTAAAAGTGCTGTAAATGACTGTCGTAAAAGGGAGTGCCGTTCAGGACTCAGGTGTTTAAAGCACTTTAATGGGATCTCCCGCCGGGCCGTGGCTGCCCCGGAGCTGCTCTCAGCTTGCCGGGCGCTGCTTGAGGCGTTTGCTGCACGGGGGATGCCCGCAGCAGCCGCCCCGCCCAGCTCTGCTCGTGCCGCGAGTCTCCAATGGGACACGCCCCCCACAGCTCCGGTCTCCGCCGCCGTGCTCGCCGCTGCCGCCCCGCCCCCCGCCCTCGCGGTCCCGCCCCGCGCTCCTCCCACCGGCCCCGCCTTTGCCATCCCGTTGGTCCCCGCTGTCCCCGCCCCCCCGGTTTCGCCATCCTCGCGGCCCCGCCCCTCAATTCCGCCTCTCCGAGCCCGCCCACCGGCACCACCGCGGCTCCCCCCCCCCCCCCCCCCCCGATCCCGCCGCTTTCCCCCCCGTTACCCGCGAGTGCGGCCGCTCCTGCCGCCCCCCCCCCCCCGCCCCCTTTGCCGACCCAGCGGGGCCGGTGCTGGCCCAAGTCCCGTCGGTGCTGCTGCGTCTTTGCCGTTCCCCGCGGCTCCGGGATCTGCGGTGCCGAGGTCGCCTCGCGCGGCCGCGCTGCGTCCCCAGCGCCCCCTGTGCGCGCTGCCGCGGGCAGCCCTGTTCCCCCCCCCCCCCCCCCCCCCCGCGCAATTCAAGCGCACGCAGCGCACCCCGAGCTGCCCACGGGCCCCGCGGCAGCGCACACAGCCGTGTTTAATCCCGTCCCTGCCGCCGTTCCGGCGCAATCCCCCGGTCCCGGCACGGCGCCGCCGGCGCAGGGACCGGGGCGCCCCGGCCCGCCCCGTGCCGGCGCCGCTCCTGCCCGCCGGGCCGGCAGCCAGCCCGGCTCCCAGCGGCCGCACGCCGCGCTCCAGCCGCCCGCCCAGCGCACCGCTCGGCACGGGGCCCCCGCGGCAGCCTCCCGCCGCCTCCCGCCACGCCGGGATCATCTCCCGCTGACGAGGCCGCCCCGCCGCCGCCCGTGGCCGCCTTCCCGCTCCTGCTGCCGCCGCTCGGCACCGCGGCGCCGGCCCGAGCCGTGCCGTGCCCCGCCGCAGCCTCCTGCTTCCGAGCTGCCGGATGGCGCGGCTCCGCCGCCCCCTGCAGCCACCGACGTCTCGTGGTTCCCACCCGCGGCTGCAGCCGCAGCCCCGTGCCCCGTTCCCGCAGCCCCGTGTCCCGTTCCGGCAGCCCCGTGCCCCGTTCCGGCAGCCCCGTGTCCGGTTCCCGCAGCCCCGTGTCCGGTTCCGGCAGCCCCGTGCCCCGTTCCGGCAGCCCCGTGCCCCGTTCCGGCAGCCCCGTGCCCCGTTCCGGCAGCCCCGTGTCCGGTTCCCGCAGCCCCGTGCCCCGTTCCGGCAGCCCCGTGCCCCGTTCCGGCAGCCCCGTGTCCCGTTCCCGCGGCCCCGTGTCCCGTGGCCCCGTGCCCCGTTCCCGCGGCCCCGTGTCCCGTTCCGGCAGCTCCGTGTCCCGTTCCCGCCGCTCCGTGTCCCGTTCCCGCCGCCCCGTGTCCCGTTCCGGCGGCCCCGTGCCCCGTTCCCGCGGCCCCGTGTCCCGTTCCGGCGGCCCCGTGCCCCGTTCCGGCGGCCCCGTGTCCCGTTCCGGCAGCCCCGTGTCCCGTTCCCGCCGCCCCGTGCCCCGTTCCCGCGGCTCCGTGTCCCGTTCCCGCCGCCCCGTGTCCCGTTCCGGCAGCCCCGTGTCCCGTTCCCGCAGCCCCGTGTCCCGTTTCCGCAGCCCCGTGTCCCGTTCCCGCCGCCCCGTGTCCCGTTCCCGCCGCCCCGTGTCCGGTTCCCGCAGCCCCGTGTCCCGTTCCCGCAGCCCCGTGTCCCGTTCCCGCAGCCCCGTGTCCGGTTCCCGCAGCCCCGTGTCCCGTTCCCGCGGCTCCGTGTCCCGTTCCCGCGGCCCCGTGCCCCGTTCCCGCGGCCCCGTGTCCCGTTCCCGCCGCCCCGTGTCCGGTTCCCGCAGCCCCGTGTCCCGTTCCCGCCGCCCCGTGCCCCGTTCCGGCAGCCCCGTGTCCCGTTCCCGCAGCTCCGTGTCCCGTTCCCGCAGCCCCGTGCCCCGTTCCCGCAGCCCCGTGTCCCGTTCCCGCAGCCCCGTGCCCCGTTCCCGCAGCTCCGCCGCCTCCCGCACCCCCCCCATGGCCGCCCCCGCCGCCCACGCGTGCGCGATTGCTCCAAGCCCCGCCCCAGCATTGAAATCGCAGCCCCCGCACCCATCTCATCCCTCAGTGTCTGCTGCCTTTTTTAAACAAGAAAGACAAACAAACCAACCTGAAAAATGCATAAATGGGGGGGGGAGGGAATGTCTCTTTTTTCCTTTTTTTTTTTATTTTTTCTCTTCTTCTCTTTTTTTTTTTTTAATTTTGATTTCTATTTTTTGCTTTCTTTGAGATTTCTAGCAAGATTCTATTCGTTGTGCACTTGCTTTTAAAATGTAAAGCATGTTAAAAACAGGGTTAAACCCGTCACCAAATCAGGGCTCAGCTGGCCCTGTGTATATTCAAACAAGCAAACATTGCAATGCTGGTTGCAATGTGGTTGGGAAGCTCAAAATCAAGTAGTCCTAGACACAAAAAAAACCCACAAAAAAGACAAAAAAAAAGAAAAGAGACCCTGTTGTTTCCTTTGTTAGTATAGCAGAGATAACCACTGTGCCGCTGGGCACAGCTGGTGCTTAAAGAACAAAGTCCACAATTTATTTTTATACTTTTCAGTCGAGTTTGAAATATGTAAAGCCTCATAAATAAGTTATAATTTCTGTTCACCTTGTATCTGGTCAGTATGCAAAGTGTCTCGAGCTCTTTGTGACTGAATCCTGCTCGCCACGTCAGACCTTTATTTGGGGTTTATTATTATTATCTATTTTTTAGGAAGAATGCCAAAATTGCAGCTTTGGGGGATGTATTTCAATTTGCAGTATTCAGACTCTACATTTCTTTTCCAATTTTATGTTCAATTTTTTTTTTTTTTGGCCAACTTTGGTTCTTTCCAGTGTTTACAATTGACAGATATTTTTTTAACTTCTGTTGTGTTGAAATGGATGTGTAAAATAGCTGCCTTTTTTTTTTTTCTTTTT